GGGGAAAAAGTGCATAATGTTTAAAATAATGTTTATAAACCAATTATAATTAATTAAGTTGCTTAAACAACTATAAACAAAACAACATCATGTATGTATGCATAGTTTAATACAAAGGGCAGAAAGCCAATCACATAGAGTACATTTTTCATTTAAAAATATGAGATGTAATGGGATGGGGGAAAAACCTGCTATAAAGTCATTAATTGCACAAACTTGCATTAATTTTACATGGCTTACTAAACATGCGGCTCTTTTGTGCGAGACGCGAGTGCAACGGTGATGGATGTCCCTCTAGAAAATGCAATAAATATGTGTTCTGTGTGAACGGCTTGGTTTCAGTTTTGATGTAAACAAGATCTTCTCCACATTGATGTTCTCTTTTTCCGCAATATTTTTTTTAATGAACAAAGCAGCAGCGCTGTATCTTGTGGCTTCAACTGGATATGCTAACAAAAGCATTAAAATGCAACGACACTTACATCTTCATTGCATCTCGTGCGCCACTGATAAGGCTGCCTCCTTAATGCACACCTAAAATTAGAATGCAACGTTTTTGCATTCGAATGTGGATTTTTATTTGAAATTCGACAAATATTCGGAATTTGATTCGGATTTGAATAAAAATGTTGACAGCCCCATTGTCACTATTAATTGGGAATATCTGTTGTTCTACCCCATGCTTGGTGTGGACTTAGCTTTTTTTGGCCTGATCTTCGCCGTGCTCACAGCGTGATTTTATATCGTTCTCACTGTGATCTTCGCAATGTAGAGAGAATGCTCAATTAGGGAAAGTCTCCGGTTACTGTTGTAACATTGGTTTCCTCAGAGCAGGAACGAGACATTGCGAAGATCGCCGTGCCCGTTGCTCGATCAGTAGTGCAGCGTTCAGTCTCAGATTTTGATGTAACTGCCGCTATTGGTGCATTTATAGTGCCCGCCAAGCCTGTCAGTATTTGCCTGCGATTTGCATAGATGAGTGTCAATTGGCCAGTTTATTGAACTGGCGTTATCCTATAAGACTTCAGTATTTTGGAAAAGGGTAGAAGTCCCACTGCAATCTTCGCAATGTCTTGATCCCGCTCTCAGGGAACCAAGGTTGCGACAGTAACCGGAGACATTTTTAGTGGTTGTTATTGGGGAATAACATACCTTGGAATGTGGTGACTGACCAATCAGATTAGAGTATTCCATAGAATTAGTTAGGTTATGTAACGGAGCCGACGAGACGAGAGACGTGCGGATCCATCTGCAAAGCTTTTATTTAAAGGCGTGGTCATAAAACAGGCAAGGTTCAGACAATGGCAAACAGGTATATGAGGGCAAGACGAAGAGTAATTCAAAACGGGCGTGAGTCAGTCGACAGCAAACGTTATCCAAAGGGCTTGACAAGAGGGGCAATCCAATAACACGAGCAATAGTCCAGGCAGGAGCAAACAGAGTCCGAACGGCGAGACAAGAGGGCAATCCGAGAAACACAGGCAGGAATCAGAACACGAGAAAACAGGCAAGACAAGACTAAGGCTGAACTATGAAAACTAGAAATGGCTCCGTAGAGTAGCTATCGCTAGGTGAGTGATATGCGCTAAACAATACTCAGCGTTGAATGGTGGTGTGAGACTGATTTATATATTGTGTGTTATTGGTAGCAGCTGTGTGTGATTGGTTTCAGGTGAGATTGTAATTAGTGCAATGGAGCATGGGAAATGTTGTCCAGGGTGATGTGTAACAGTCTGTGTAGTGTGAGAGTCAATGTAGTGAGCGGGTGACCTCTGGTGGTGAGTGAACGGAAGTTCATAGACTGGATTCGTGACATAGACATAGGTTTGTTTTTGCTAAATATATGCACTTTACATACTTATTATTTCTTCTCAACCTTTTGTCTTCATTATTTAAATTTCATTTTTTAAATGAAACCCTTATTTTCCCTTGTGACAACTGAATGGGCAGACAGTTCATGAACGGGCTCACTGACTGAAACTGAACAGGCAGAGAATTTAACATTGGAATTCTTGGCAAAGACCGGTTGAGATGACAGTTCATAACTAGACTCATTGAGTGAAACTGGAATGACAGAAGTTTCAGACATATTACACACTGGTGCATTAGTAGAAACTGGGCAGATGGATGGTTCAAAATCAGACATATTCCTTGAAATTAGTGGACAGACAGACAATTCAGGAACAGATTCATGGGTTGACACTGTGGACTGACCGTTCATTATTTAACTCCTTGACTGAGACTGGCAAGACAGATAGTTCAGAATTAGACACACTTGGGGAAACCGAGCAAGCAGACAGTTCCTGAATAATCTTTATGGCAGTGACAGGGTTAACGGGAAGGACATGGGGTGAATTAATAGTTTCTGGGCTCATGACAGGTAGGGTTAAGGGTTCAAAGGCAGAGTTTTTGGCTGTAACAGACAGTTCACAATCAACCCCCATGGCTAGTTCAGAACAGGACAAGAGTTCAGAGATGGCCTTCTCGGCTGGTTCAGAATAGGCAAGAGAGTTCATAGGTGGCCTCCTTGGCCGGAACAGGACAGGCAAAGAGTTTGCAGATGGCCTCCATAGCCGTGACAGAACGGGCAGAGAGTTCACAGACGGCCTCCATAGCCGTGACAGGACGGGCAGAGAGTTCACAGACGGCCTCCATAGCCGTGACAGGACGGGCAGAAGGTTCACAGATGGCCTCCTTGGCCAGAACCGAACAGGAAGAGAGTTTACAAGTGGATACTACCGACACCTCTGGGGGTTCTGCAGCGGATGCCGCCACCTCTGGAGGTGCTACAGCAATACCAGCAGGAAACAGGGAGAGTTCATTATCATTCTCCTTAACAGGACAGGTACAGAGTTCAGCAACGGTCCCTTTGACCATGACAGGACAGACTGAAAGTGTATTGCTGGGTGCCACCACCATACCAGGAGCCAAAGCGAGCGCCGCCACCTCGGAGGGTTCTGCAGCCTCAGCCGCCACCTCTGGAGGACCTGGAGCGAGCACCGCCATCTCTGGAAGTTCTGTGGTGGTGTATGCAGCCCAAACACACCAAAAAGCGATCCCCATCATGGGAAGCGCTTCAGACAGGGGAATCAGTTCAGGAACAGGAGGGCTAGAGTGAGTGGGTTTGGGGATACCAGCTGCGCGTGCAGACATCAGCAGTGCATCCCTCACACTGCATATCAGACTGGGATACTGAAGGGCTGACCGTGATAATCTGGGTGTAACAGACAGGACGTGACATGACTCTGGATGATCAGCTGTGATGTGACATGACTCTGGATGAATAGCTGAGACGTGACATGACTCTGGACAACCAGCTGAGAAATGGCGAGACTCTAGAAGATCAGCTGTGACATGATGTGACTCTGGACGAACAGCTGAGACGTGACGAGGCTCTGGCAGGTCAGCTGTGACTTGACATGACTCATGACAATCAACTGTGACTTGACTCATGAAGATCCACCGTGACTTGACTCAAGAAGATCAGCGGTGACTTGACTCGACTCAAGAAGATCAACGGTGACTTGACTTGACTCAAGAAGATCAACGGTGACTTGACTTGATTCAGGATTGGCAGCTGTGACATAATGGGGCGCTGTTGTGTCCGCCATTTTGTGAGCGTGCTCTAGTGTGGCCGCCATTACACAAGTGAATGCGGGGTTGCGTTCCTCCACGACACCCACAGTGAACGTTGAACCAGCAGTCAACAAAGCATAGTCCATAAACTGACTAAGAGATGAGCGGAGACCTTCACGGATTAAATGTGATTTGAGCGGCTGATTAATGCCCTCACAAAAGAAGTCTACGAGTACACAGTCCGGCAGATCAGAAAAATAAGTAAAGTTCAGATACTCTTGAATATAGTCCTCGAGCGATTGTGTGCCCTGTTTGAGGGCTAATAACAGTCTTGCAATGTCCATACCTGGCCAGTGTCCACCTGAAAAGCCGCTGGATCCTTGTGAGGCCGAGTATTCTGTAACGGAGCCGACGAGACGAGAGACGTGCGGATCCATCTGCAAAGCTTTTATTTAAAGGCGTGGTCATAAAACAGGCAAGGTTCAGACAATGGCAAACAGGTATATGAGGGCAAGACGAAGAGTAATTCAAAACGGGCGTGAGTCAGTCGCCAGCAAACGTTATCCAAAGGGCTTGACAAGAGGGGCAATCCAATAACACGAGCAATAGTCCAGGCAGGAGCAAACAGAGTCCGAACGGCGAGACAAAAGGGCAATCCGAGAAACACAGGCAGGAATCAGAACATGAGAAAACAGGCAAGGCAAGACTAAGGCTAAACTATGAAAACTAGAAATGGCTCCGTAGAGTAGCTATCGCTAGGTGAGTGATATGCGCTAAACAATAATCGGCGTTGAATGGTGGTGTGAGACTGATTTATATATTGTGTTATTGGTAGCAGCTGTGTGTGATTGGTTTCAGGTGAGATTGTAATTAGTGCAATGGAGCATGGGAAATGTAGTCCAGGGTGATGTGTAACAGTCTGTGTAGTGTAAGAGTCAATGTAGTGAGCGGGGAACCTCTGGTGGTGAGTGAACGGAAGTTCATAGACCGGATTCGTGACATAGACATAGGTTTGTTTTTGCTAAATATATGCACTTTACATACTTATTATTTCTTCTCAACCTTTTGTCTTCATTATTTAAATTTCATTTTTTAAATGAAACCCACTGTTTAAATGTTTATATTTTGACAACAAACTTAGAGTAGAAACATAATTCTGTTATTAAAATAAAAATGGACTTATGTGCCTCAGTTTTTATTTGAGTGTTGATTTATTAAATAAACTTGACTGATTAATTGATTATTAAATAAAATGTATATTTGTTTTCAGTTCAAGCTAAATAAAAACTTTAATTTACGTTATAGTGTTTCGGTAAAGAATTGTACAGCATATACAAAGTTATAGGACTGGGTGATATAGACAAAAGTATCACAATATTGAAATAACAATATATTTTTTTTCTTTTTTCTTTTCTCTCTCTCAGGATGGAGAAATGGTCTTGTTGGATGGGGGCTGTGAATATTTCGGTTATGTCAGTGACATCACACGCACTTGGCCGGTGAATGGAAAGTTAGTTTCCAGTTTTCAACAGAACTCTCATTGTCTCAGATGTAATGTAGCTTTAATTTTGTGCTATTAGTAAGTGATCAATCAGCTCCGTGTGCCGTCTCTAGGTTCAGTCCTGCTCAGAGAGAGCTGTATGAGGCCGTGCTGGAGGTGCAGTTGGCCTGTCTGTCTCAGTGCAGTCCTGGTATCAGTCTGGACTACATATACTCCACCATGCTCACACTGTTGGCCCGGCAGCTCAAAGAGCTCGGGATCATCCCACAAAGCACCAGTGATACAGACACACTGAAGGTACTCTAATTTGATCCAAATTTTTTTTTATAGTTCTCCCAAAATTTTTAAAATATTTTTGATATTGTTTGCTCAAATTAAATATCAAAATACCTATAATATATATAATTAAAAAAAGAAGCATTTAACTGATCAAAAGTGACATTTATAATGTTAAAAAAGATGGAAAAATGTATCTTTGTTTCCAGAAAAATATTAAGCAGCACGAGTGTTTTCAACATTGATAGTAATAAATAATAATAAACGTTTCTTGACCAGCAAATCAGCATATTAGAATGATTTCTGAAGGATCATGTGACTCTGAAGACTGGAGTAATGGTGCTGAAAATTCAGCTTTGTATCACAGGAATAAATTACATTTTGAAATATATTAATATATAAGAATTATTTAATAATATTTCACATTCACAATATTGCTATTTTTACTGTACTTTTGATCAAATAAATGCAGCCTTGGTGAGCATAAGAGACTTTCAGTAACCTTATCTTACAACCTCAAATTTTGAACGATATTCCTTATTTTTAGTTGTGTTTAATTGATAAAACTTGGTGTTTTAAAAGTATTATAGTAACATTTAACATGCTAAAACATCCAAGATGATCACTGCATCTTTAAATTCATATTTAAAGAACCACAGGAACACACATTAAAGCAGTACGTGTCTAACGAATTTGCCACCTTCAGCAATAGATTTTTAAAAAATATATATGGTCATATTGTGTAAGAAAAGATTATATTTAGCCTTTTTATTCATTTAATATCTGCATTGGTCTGCACTATTTCTGTGTATATAAACACGCTAATTGCATTGTTCCAGCTTTTACATCAGTGATGCAAAATGCAGCTAATTCTTGCTTGCTTTGTAATCGATTGCAATTCTCCCAAAAAAAAAAAAAAGGACGAATATACTGTAAAATGTATCACTGGCATCTCACACCAAGCTGAGATTCTGATTCACAGTTGTTGAAACACCAAGAATTCGAGACATTCTTTATTTATTTAATTGAACTTCCCTAAAGCTCTGTGGTCAGGAAATGACTATAAGTCTTTCTGTCCAATTTAAATGGCAAAGATCTGACCCACTTATAGCGTCTGTAAAGCACCACACTGCCATAAAAGCACCATTTCACTTAGTGCAGCGAGTTTATGAGGCCAGCAAACCGACATGCTGGCCAGTTAAGCCTGTTGTGGCTGTGGGGATGTAGGTGTGCACTTATTTCAGTTTAACTCTGTTTTCATGTTCAGAGTTCCTCACATGCAGCTTTGCAACTGTTTCACATGCTATAAAATGCATTATAATCACATTACAGTTGTTTTTCTTCATGGATGTCTGCCCGTCTCTTTCTTTTTTCCTTCCAGGCTGCTCGGCAGTTTTGCCCCCATCACGTGGGTCACTACCTGGGCATGGATGTTCATGACACCCCTGAGCTGTCCCGTTCACAACCGCTGCAACCTGGCATGGTGATCACAATAGAGCCAGGTGAAGATCACTTTTATTTAAAAACAATTCATGTTGCATGTGACTGTTTGTTTTAAAAATGTTTTTTTTTTACTTTTAGTTCATCAAAGAATGTGTTCTAGCATTCAGTTTATCAAAATGATTGCATGAAGTTTCATCTCATGCTGTACCTCCTATAGCTGCGATTGAGTTGTAGGTTGATTCTCATGGATTTTATGATCAGATCAGCACCTCAAACTTAGATTTATCCATCCACAATAATCATTTACCATTTGATGATCTTTGCCATTTCTATTCTTTTTATTTTGTATACTGGTATCAGATGTGGCTTTTCCTTGCATAAAGTAACCTTCATCCCTCAATACAACAAGAGACTGATGAAGATTCTAGAAAATGTGTTTCTTTTGGCCATTTTTAAAACCAAAGTTAGACTTGAAAGTATGGTGACTTGCAAGTGTACTCAATACTCCAGCAGCTGTATTGTAATTTCCACAGTTCATTGAGCAGAACAATCATTTTCAGCTGTGCTAATAATAAGAAAAGTTTCTTGAGTTGCAAATATGAACATTAGAATGATTTCTTAAGAACAAGTTTGAGGTAACTGTTTTCTTGTTATGGCTTCTGAAAATTATTATTTTTAAGAAGCAAATGATTTTTTTTTAAAAATAAAATAGAAAGCCATTTTCTCCTGTGCTGTTATTGTATTAAAAAACATTTTTGTTAATTAAAATAAAGCTAAAATTAAATAAAACAAATATTGTATAACTAAATAAGCTGAAGTACTAAACATACTAACTATATATAAAGGACAGAAGAACGTAACAAAATTACTGCAATTAAAGTTTAAACTGAAAATACAAAAATAAATGCTCATTCAAAGTACTAATAAATGCTATAATTGTGTATAATACGTTCTAAAATAACACTGATTCTCTTAGTGTATTAACAATAATGCATATTATTGTAGTTTATATAACATTCATGGGAATCAATTAACATATTGTTTTTAACTAAAATAATACAAATTTAGTCAGACGGAGAAAATACAGTGACTGGACTAGCTGTATAAAAACGTATTAAAAAAACGAATATAATACATAAACAAAATACATAACAAAATTACTAACACTTACATTAAAATGAAAACTGAAAGAACAAAAATAAAAGCCAATTTCAATGTATTAATAGATACTATAATAGTATATAAAAATACTAAAATAATACAGATTCTCTTAGAGTAATAATGATGTTGCATATTACTGCAGTGTATATAAGCACATAAAATTCATAGATATCATTTAACATATTTTTAAATAAATATTTTAATTCAGTCAGTCAGAATAAATACAAAATACAGTGGCTGGACTAAAATTGGAACGAGGCGTCAGTCTTCTGAATGCATGTTGCAACACGCTGGACTGGGCACTTGAGGTGTTAGACAGACTTGTTGATTACAATCAGAGCGATCTAGTCTTGTTTTGCACTTTGCATCCCAAAAGAGTTGCTTTGAAAACTGCACTTGTTGAGGACATTCATACAGCACCATGTTAGAAAAATAAGGGTAATAATATTGATAAACCACAGATACATATCTTGAGTGCACTGTAAAGACAGTTAGTCTTGAAGTAACATTCAGCTTCTTAGCATTTGAGCTGTACTGCACAAAACAAAAGCTCTAAACTCTCATCTCTTGCGCCCTTCACCCAGGATTATACATCAGCGAGGACGACAGCTCATGTCCAGAGAGATTCCGGGGTCTTGGGGTGCGAATCGAGGACGATGTGGTGATCCGAGAGCATGGGGGACCCCTCATCCTGTCGGCAAACACCCCAAAAACCATCGCTGAGGTGGAGAGAGCTTGCGCACATGGAGAAGACTGAAAGGAAAGAGTAGAACATAGCAAGCCCTGCTAGAATGAGTCTGTTCCTCCCATCTTTTAACCCCTCCGCTGACAGGCTTTTCTGTAATAGTGAACTCAGGAGGTCTGGATCTCACAGAACTTGCTCCAGTTAAGTATTAAACCTGGAGGATTAAGAGCTGGACGTGTCTGGACAGCGTGCAATGTCTCCCTGATAGCCAGTTCACTCCTACGCTAGCTAAATGGTTGTGTTGGGTCGTGTTTTGTATTTGACCTGCACAACTACACTCTCAGAAAAAAGGTACAAAAGCCGTCACTGGGGCTGTACCCTTAAAGGTACTTATTAATATGTAAAGCATAAATATTTGTATGTTTTGAAAATTTACCACCCCAGTGACAGCTTTTCGTCCGAGGGCTTATGGGAGACTTTAAATTAGTTCAGATGGAGAAACAAGCAGGTTGTTATGATTTAGCATGGTGAACAGGCTGTTTGTGAGACAATTTATCTGTTGTATTGTGAGAGGTTCGATTTGTGTTTGAGTATGTTTGTCTGCTGAGGTTTTTACTGTCATACATGGTGTTTTTTTTTTTTTACTGTTGTCAAAATAATCGTCTAATTCTTGATTTTGTTGCTGCAGTTTGTAAGCACAATGCATTTCTAAGTCCCGTAATTAGTCAATGAACAGATTTTTAGCAAAAAAATATTAGCTTTTTTTTTTTTCAGTACATATTCTAAGTACACTTGAAAACTTTTAAAGGGGTCATAGGATGCCCATTTTACACAAGTTGATATGATTCTTTGGGGTCTTAATGAAAAGTCTGTAGCATAGTTTGGTTCAAATTTCTCAATGGTAGTGTAAAAAACACCTTTAACGCCATAACACACAAATTATATGATGTAGCAAATAAGTTATACTAACATACACTAAATTTCTTGGTTTTAAGTCACAGTGATTTACTATTAGAAGTAAAAAAAAAGTTCAAAGTGATTAAATTTATGCTGAATGAAGTCTAAAACTACAATTGTATAGTGTATTCACAATACTTATAGACAAAAATAGTACTCTAAAAACATCAGTAAGGTTGGAATTGGAAAAACTCATTAGAATTTGTGTGTTGGGCTGCTGTATTTTTGTGTATCTAACCTAATAAAACTGAATATATAAAAGCTAATTCAAAATATTATTAAATACTATAACACTATAGAAATAATACTAAAATAACACTGATTCTGTCAAAGAGTAATATTATTGAATATTAATGTAGCGTATATAGTAAAATCATAGTCATCAATTAACACATTTTAAATAAAACAATATTTCAGTCAGAAAAAATACATAGCTTTTCACAATACATATAGACAGAAAAATAGTGCCCTTAACCTCAGTATGGTTAGAAATGGAAATGGGAAAACTCTCTTAAAGGGGTCATATGATGTTGCTAAAAGAACATTATTTTGTGCATTTGGTGTAATGAAATGTGTTTATGCGGTTTAAGGTAAAAAGAAAACACATTATTTTCCACATACTGTACATTATTGTTTCTCCTCTATGCCCCGCCTTTTTGAAACGCGTCAATTTTTACAAAGCTCATCGGTCTGAAAAGCTAGGCGTGCTCTGATTGGCCAGCTATCCAGTGCGTTATGATTGGCCGAATACCTCAAGCGTGTGACGGAAATGTTACGCCCCTTACCATATTGTGATGCCCTGTCCCAGCCGGAGCGACGAGACAAAAACATTAAAACCCATTATAAACTAGGCATTTGTTGCATCCAGGTGAGGACATAATTATGGATTATAATGACTTATACTGTCTTTTTACGCGTTGCGGATCAGCTCCAGGCATGACGAAGCGGATATCGTCCTCTTTTGGAAGGCCAAACAAAGTAGTTTCGCTTTCACAACGAAACACAGCGCCTTCACGACATGGCGGCGGCGACAACAATACTACAGCAAGAGTAAAAGTTACGCCTTCTTTCTTTGCGTGAACATTTGGGCGGCGTTATGCAAATCTTCCCACATCGTGACATAGATATGTGGGGGCGTGTTAGAATGAGCCATTTTAGGTAGGCGTGGTTGACTCTTAACGTTTATAAAGAATATCTCTTTGGATTTGAGACTTTAGTCTTTGCAACTTTACAGATCTTCTTTATGCACCAAGAGCTTTTAACACTCCAAAGAGAAAGGAAAAATTGAAATCGCATCATATGACCCCTTTAAGAACATCAGAATTTGTTTTGTGTGTTGGGCTGCTGTATTTGTGTGAATCTGATAACTCATATGTTGCAGGTTCAATCCCAAGCAGATGCGAGTTTGAAACTGGAGATGGTACCAACATCACCAAAAACTAAAGAAAACTACACAATATATTTAAAAATTATGTATAAGCATGTTCTGAGTCAGCTGAGCTTGTTTAATATCCAAAAGTACTGTCTAGGTGAGCTTGATGATGCTCTGAAGCAGCTCAATGCTGGATAGGTTTTTGAACAGAAGTGGTTTTGAATGCATTTACAAGGCTCGAAATGCCATCTAGGTAGGCAGCTCACTGGTTTTTGGAGTTTTTGAAAATGATGCAACGTGGCTAAACTTGGGATTCTGAGATTTTGTAAAGCAGAGCTCACTCAGAACATGCAAATGACTACCAAAGAGTAAGTCTAGTGGGTTGGCAACTCTCTAGATTTTGAGACAATTTCTCAGCTAAGATGACTTGCAATGCATTTATGCCCTTTTTTATGCGAGCTGACTTTGAACATGCCAGTGAGGCCCAGAAATGCTGTCTAGCTAGGCCACTGAAAATGCTAATGATTCCCAAGGATGCTAGCTACATGGTCAGCTCCCTTTATTTTGAGCAGAAGTGTTATCTAGTTAAGCAAAGTTTCTTAGCTGACTAAGGTGTCTATGATATCCAAAAATGATTTCTAGATCACTAGGTTTCTGAGTTTTTGAGCTGAATATGCTTATGATGCCAAAAAATCAAGTCCCAAGTTGACAAGTCCCTAGGTTTGGAGTTTTTTGACATGAGCTCATTCAGAATACACTGAAGACACCCAAAAGGTAGGCCTAGGTAGCTGACTGGGTTTTGAGATGCCATCTCTCAGCTGAGATCACTTGTTGTCCGTTAGGCCCAAAAATCCTGTCTCTGAAAGCAACTTGAGGTTTTTAAGCAGAATTGACTCTTAAAGCTCATACGACATCCAGAAATGCTGTCTAAATAGGCAGCTCATAGTTTTTGGAGTTTCTTTAGCTGAATTCACTCTGAAGACGTTTATGATGTCCAAAGTGCTGGCCACATATTTAGTTCCCTACGTTTTGAGAAACAATCTCTTAGCTGAGATGACTTGCACTATGGCAGGGGTGGCGAACTCCGGTCCTGGAGAGCCGCAGCCCTGCAGAGTTCAGCTCCAACCCTAATTAAAACTCACCTGCCTGTAGCTTCTTAGTAACTGTTCAGACCTTGATTAGCTTGTTCAGGTGTGTTTGATTAGGGTTGAAGCAAAACTCTGCAGGGCTGCGGCTCTCCAGGTCCGACGTTTGCCACCCCTGCACTATGGTTATGCTCAGTTACATTGTTGCCAGTTGCTGTCTAGCTACGTTTTTGATCTGAGCAGACTCTTAATGTACATATCCAGAAATACTGGATGCACTAGGTTTTGGAGCTTCTATAGCTGAATTCACTCAGAACATATTTATGATGCCCCAAAAATGCTGCCTTACATACTCCGTTTTCTAGGTTCCCTGCTGGAAAAAAATGGCTAAATCCAGTCTATGCTTCTTAGCTGGTTTAAGCTGCGCATAGCAGGTCTTCCAGCCTGACTAGCTAAAGAAGTGGTCAAAGCCTGCAAACTAGATATGACCAGGCTGAAGTCCAGCTAAAACTAGCCAAACATTTTAGGCTGGTGTTTTTTCTCAACAGGCTTTTGAGACCCAATCTCTCAAACGAGTTGATTCCCAATGCGGTTATGCCAAAAAATGCCTAGTTAAGCAACGTTAAGGTGAGCTGAACGAACATGCCTATAATGTCCAAAAATACTCTGTAGTTTGGCAGCTCGCATAGGCTTTGAGGAACTGAGACGACTCTTTGAGTACGAGGTCTGAAAAAACATCACCGTTTGTTCTGGCCTCTATCACCATTGCTCTTCAATAGGGCACTTGACCCCTGGGTTTCTCCGAGGAGGCTGACTGTCCCTCCAGCTATAGCGAAGCCAAGCGAGACACTATTTTGCAAACCAATAAGTCACAAGGTGGGCATCATCTCACTACTAGTGACTCCATCATCTCATGATGATGCTGGACCCCAGTCGCAACTCCGAAACAGTACGGAAACAGCGCTGTCCGGGAAATCCCGATCGCCATCTACCCCTCCACCCCCCTTTACTAATGTTACCGCACCTCCAACCTTCCCTCCCCCAGCCAGAGGAGTAGAAACAACAAGCCGCCATTTTGTTTGTGCGGAGAGAGTGAAGGAGGCAGGAGCGACCGAAAAAAAGCCACTCGAGCGCCGACCACTGCGACTCTGAGCGCCGCCGGCTCCGGTTCGCGGATCCAGACCGGATAAATCACAAGCCCGGCGATTAGCGGAGGCGACGGAGGGAGATTATAGATTCTCCCGTGTGCAAATCAAAGAGCAGACTGGGTTTTCCTTTCTTTTGCTGTTCTTTTTTTAAACGAAGCAGAGAGGCGGAAGAGGGCAATAAATTTAAACGAAGGGAAGCTCGTCAGGGGAAAAGGAAAATAACAGCGTCACGAAGTGGGAATATCTGTGAAATTACATCGCCGGTTGCTGGCGGACGACGGCGAAAGTGGGGAAAATTGCAGGAACTGTGCAAGAGAAGGGAGAAATTTAAAAGGGATGAACGCGCAGGGGGGTTCACGGCATCACAAAGCCTATGAAAGGGGTTTGAGGACCCCCAGATTTTTGGGGGTGCAGCTGGCAATATCTCCCGGATCGGCAGATGCTTCAAACCCGAAATATTATTGAAGCCCAGCTCGGTTTGGTTCTGTTTTCGACCCACTACTGGCTGTTCCTCTCGCTCTTTCTTAATGCTCCGCAAGGCTCTTCGTGCAGTGACACATTATTCTTATTTGCTTGATGTGTCAGTGCATTGAAATACACGCACATGCATTGACCAACTTCACTTGATTCCCGTTCTTTAGCTCGAGCACAGCGGACTGCGAGACAACATCTTGCACTTCAGACCGACTGCATGCATGTTCTGTCCATTAGACGGACACTTTTGAAATAATTTCTTTGCATGCACGAGCTGTGCGCAGTGCAGGGTGGTCTCGTGAAGCGATGGTCAGAGGTTTTCTGCAAACACTTTTAACTCGTGCAGTGGACACGTTCACACAGAGGGCGCACGAGCCATATTCAGATGCGAATGCACGATAAACCATTTGACTTGTCACTTTGAAGTATTGTTGCAAAATGCTAAGACATGGACACTGAAATATGCAAGTTGTTCGGAATCATCTAAAGTGGTAGCTCGTGCATGCAAACTCAAGTTGGATGCACATTCATCGCGCTATTTATTCTGCAAAGAGTATACTGTCTTATTAAGGATGAAAGGAAACTTTTACATGCATATGACTGTTTAATGATATTTCCAGTATTTATTTGTTCTCTCCATTCATCTTAATTACTTGGGAGTAAATAAAGACATTGATGAAGGAGATTCAAACATCCGTGTCAATTTTAAGGAGCACGATGGACTTGCAATCTTCTAAATAAAGTGATGCAGGCTGAGAATTGCACATGCTACAATGCAAAGACAGGCACGATTCTGAATCATAGCGTTCGCTCATAAGCATTGCATGAAGCCGCACCGGAGCGAGTTCGGTTTCTCGTACACAACGCCTTAAAAAAACCCTAACACTTCAGCTCGCCGCCGACAATGGCGGAAAAGACGGATGCAAGCAGCGAGGATAAATCTCGGGAAAATTGCTCAGTCGCCGAGGAGGCTACGTGAGTTTGCGGCGAGCTTGCATGACCGGCTGTCCCTCCCTTCACCTCCTCCATTCGGAAATATACTTTTGAGGAACTAAAGACTAGAAAATCTTAAAAGGGAGCTTTAAAGGTGGACTGAACATTGAAGCTTTGCTTTGCATTGCATGCATGTATCGTCCCATGAAAAGGAAACGGGAATCCGTCCGGTGCTCGTGAACGAGGAGAGATTTCATTTGCACATCGGCTCGCGACTGCACAGGAAGGGCTATCCTACGCGGGATATATGCTTTAACACTAAGCCGGAGGAAAACTATGGCCGATAATGTGCTGGAATCCGGCCCGCCTTCAGCTAAGAGGCCTAAATTGTCTTCTCCGGCTCTGTCGGTCTCCGCGAGCGATGGAAACGGTAAATAATAATGTTTCACGCGCTGCGGTGTGCGGCGGCGAATCTGCCGCTGTTCGCCTGCATGCATGAAAAAAAGACGCTCGACGTGTGTTCCCGAGAGCTTTCTTTTGTTGTATCTGTTTGTTTGCATCGTCCCCTGGTATTTAAATAACTTAGCAGGGATAGCTAGCTGGCTAATTTGCTCCGTGTTTTCATTTGAAGTTGATGAGGTGAGTGTTACAATACTGTTTGTGCGTGGTCATCTGCAAAATACTATGCATTGTTTTTCCGGGTGTGCGTTACACAAACTTTTCGCTTTGTTCGTCGTTGTGAGATGTCGAGAGCAGGGGTTGGTGTCAAAGGTTTATGAGGTGATGCATTTTGAGCTTGTCAGGAAAAGGAATACTCGACAGGAACATGCTATAAATCACGTCGGTTGGGAGTGAAGTGTAGAGCACTTTGAGACACCAGAGGTCTTTCTTTTCAAGTTGGTTTACATGTAGTGCGTACTAAATAGTTGACAAACCAGTGTCTGTAAGTTTCTGATCAACACTTTCATCTGTGTAGTTACTCTGTATTTGCTGCTCTTCCTGTTAGACCAGATGAAAAGTGTCCAAGACCCTTCTAAATCCTGCAAACGATTCTAGGCTGGTTTATACAGCTCTTTTACAGCATGTGTAGAAGTGGAAGTCAGGGCATATTGCCTGAACTCTAGTGGTTCACCAGTGCAGGTTTTTAAATGGCTGATATATCAACAGAGCAGATAGTGACTGTTATGCTTATGTATTATCTATTTATATGCATGTATCATTTCATAATAGCAAATAAGATGAATTTGAATCAGCATTGTATTTCATACAATAGTTATTTCATTAAATAGAAGCTTTTGATAACTAAAAACAAGTTTGGGGAAACTGGGGTAAGTTGTGCCACTGTTTGTGTTGTCATCTAGGCAATAAGACATTAATTTGTTTGTACAACTAATACTTTAAACTAAATCCCGCTTTTATTTTTACGGCACACTATCTGCATTTACCTAAAGATAAACCCATGAACTGGGCATAAGATGGTTATTTTAATATTTAGAATATTGAAGTCAAAATAAAGGTTTTTATTTTATTTTATTTTTTTAAATATTCTATAGATGGGGGGGGAAAAAACATGCCAAAAATGTATCATAAAATTGGCTAAATGCTGTCGCTTTTCTAATTGGCGTCTTTTGAAAATGTACATGCATTCAAAAACTGTCCTTTAAATATAAAATTAAATAAAAACTCTCAGGTATCCACAAAAAAAGGTTGTATGTAGACTATAAATCAGCCAAGCATGTTTTGGTTGTTGGTCTATGGCCATAATCTCAAATCCAAATATTGTCTGATTAATTGCTTTGCTGATATATCGATCTAATCACTAATGTGAAGACTGCGTCTAAAAATTCCCTTGCTTCATATTTAGAGTAGGTTGCATTTATCAGTCGTTGGTGCGTTGCTGCTATCAGGATCTGCCATTATGTAGGAAAAGGCCCCCATTTTGTCCCACCACTTGTCCATTGTTATGCCATGCCATGTGTTTTTTATTAGTATGAACCATTAGGACATGCACACCGGCTATACTGCATACTGTTCTCTTGTGAGCCGATAATCTCAGTCGCTCTCTCATCACGGGAGCTGCAATAAAATGTTGCATGAGATTCGTTCAGTCGCGCTTTGGTCAATTTGTCTAGATTTCTTGCTGTAGATTGATGGATCAACCCATGTATTGTCCAGGCCAACTAACCTCCCTGTGTATTGAAATTACAGATGTGTTGTCCACTTATTACTTTATCTCATCAGATTAAATTGTCTAAGAACAAATATGGTTTCTTTTGCTGTGGCATTGCTGGACCCATCTCATTTTTTGGGCATATACTATAATTATTCTCTGATGTATCTCATTATGAGTGATTTTTCTGTGAGCAACAACCTTATTAAAGTCTCTTTTCCCCCTTTCTTTCAGATTTTGGCTCCCTGTTTGACCTGGAGCATGACCTCCCGGACGAGCTCATTAACTCCTCCGACCTGGGCTTTCCTAACGGGATGGACCCCGGCCAGTTGCACACCACTCTGGGTGGAGGAGGGATGTTGGGCCCTCTGGGTGGCTCGGGCCAGGATACAGCGGCCAAACACAAGCACCTGTCTGAGCTCCTCCGCCCTGGCGCCCCTCCATCCACCTCCACGGCCACCAGCAACCCCGGGAACGCGCCCTCCTTGGGGATGATGGGAGGTCTGAGTGGCAACCCGGTTACTCAGGGACTGGGTGGCCCACAACAGCAGCAGCCAGGCATGATGCCGCAGCCTGGCATGGTGGCGGGACTGAACCGGGGCATGATGGGCGCCCAGAAAGGGAACGGACAGCCGCAGGGCATGATCGGAGGGCAGATGATGAATGGTGTGCCTAGAATGGGCTATGCCAATGTGAACATGAATGCGGGCAGGGTTGGTAATGGGAACATGCTGCCTGATGCTCTGCAGCAGCAGAACGCAGGGCAGCAGATGGCACAGGCAGCAATGAGACCGCAGCAACCAGGAGCAGTGAACAAGGTAACGTGAACAAATCAATATAATAATTCTGTGTGCAACCAATAAACGGCATGCAAAATGGTTTTGTTTCAAGCTTTAAGGTTGACTTCAATCTGTTTTATATCTCATTATACATCTATGAACTGGTGTGTCTTTGAGTGAAAGAGCTATTTAATTTAAATGTAAAATTGTAAGATTTCACAATATTACTGTTTTCACTATGTATGATCAAATAAATGCAGCCTTGGTGAGCATAAGAGACTCAAGCGTATACAATTTTATGTAATATTTATATATATATTTTATTTATTATAGATGCTATATATTTATTATTTATTTATTTATTACAGATATTCAATTTTGATCTAATTATTAATTACAATAAATATTAAAATTTAATATACATTTTTTTAACAAACATAAGTGTTGCTTTTCATTAGACAAATTGAAAAATTGACAAAGACCCAATGAAATAAATAAATAAAGACCATTGGCTTAATTCATTATTATTAATATTATTATTTTTAATACAAAAAGTGCAAGCCCTTTTAAGCCTTTCTGTCCCAACTTCCTGTTTCAACAGTTGTCGAACTATTTTATGGAGCAAAAAGTACAATAACAACAAAAAGCGCCATGTTCTGTTGCTGTCTCACACCTATCAGTCCCAGACCCAAACTTTATGGTTAAGTTGCTTTAGAGAGAACCTAAATTTTAAAGGTCAAACAAATAGTTCTCAGGATTTATGACTTTTAAAAGGCCAAGTTGTCTAATTTTAAAACGTTATAACCTGAAAAAAAAAGTAGTGACTCATGTTGTTTATCGTTGTTTGCTTGATTTAAAATCTAAATTTGAAAAATTCTGGTTTTCATCGTCCGAATAGACAAACCTGATTACTTATGTTCTTGTGACAGCACTGTATTCTCCTCCTTTAAAAACACGACCCTTTGTTAATTTTTTGGTCTTGTAAGACTGTTGTTAGAAATCAGGTAGTGAAATAGACTATTCAAGTGAAAGAAATTTTCTCTTGTGGTGTTTCTTTGGTTTGAATGCGATGTGATCCTTCACACTGAAACAGAGCTCAGTTTGAACAACCTTCTCTACTCCCTCATACGAGGAACTGTGCGCACCATTTTGTTGATTCACAGGCGATTGCACAACCTGGACTGCAGGAAATGGGCAGAAAAAAAGAGGGAATGACATTTTCTTTTTTTGTTTTGTTTTACTGGGTTCTTCTAGATTTCAAGCTGCTGTTTTGAGGGTTATTTTGCAGAATTGATACGGCATTGTTACTAACATTATGCGTATGCGATGAGTGTCAAACAGGCTGAATGATTGTTTCTCATCTGTTGATGTTTTGCTGTTAGCATTCTCAGTTTTGTCAGCTCATCTTTGATGGTTTATGATTCTGCCCAGGATGATGGATCAGATTCTGTCATAACTGAAACCTTTGAGACTGATATACTAGCTCATTTTTCATTCTTGATAGTTTTTTTCCTTCTTTTTTTCCCCTCAGATGGGAATGATGGGTGCTCCAGGCCCCTACAGTAGTTCATATGGTCAGTGCGGAGGACAGTCCCTTGGGCCTCAGCTCCAAAACAAAGCGGGACAACCCAACAGCATTAACCAGTTCAACATGGACAAGAAACCTCAGCATGGGCAGAACATGGGTGGCATGGTGAGAGAACTGTACAGAAATTGTCACCGCAAACCACATCCACACACATTCCCTGACCCTCTCTGACTGAGGAGATTTAATTCCATCGGTCTGAAGAGCCTTCAGTTATCATTTCCCCTCAGACCTCAGCCAGTGGTTCATCCCACAGACACTGAACTTGTCGATTGATTATTTCTAGGTAGTCACAAAATTTGTTTCCCCAGATTTGTGCACAATTTGAGAGGTCATTATTTGTGAAATTCCACACATCACTACCCCCATAATCTTGAAAATGCTTTGAACAGTGATGCACTGCAATGGAAATTTGACTCACTAAACTAAAAGACAAAATCAAAGTGCTTTTTTTTTTGTTTTTCTCGTCACAGTTAATGTGTATATAAGCAATTACGCCAACTTACATAGGTTAGTGTGACTTTTTATCTAAAATAGTCCCACATTTAATTTAAAAATTACATACTTTTAGAATAAACTTTAAGACACAGCTCTTGCTTTACTGACATACTTACACATACTTAACACTCTCAAGTTGATTTTTATGCAATAAAAGTTGTATTTGCATGGACAAGAGCTGCATCCCAAATGATACTCTATGCACTTATACACTATGTACTTATGCATTATGTACTTATGCACTATGTACTCAACCATGTAGTGTATTAATTATATAAGGTTATTTTTGTCATTCATAATCAGAGTCTGATAGTCCCTCCCCCTTCTCTACGTAATTAAAGCTGCGGCAGGTGAATGCATGAAGTGTCCATCATTTCACACTTCGTTTTTTCAGTTATTTAAGTGCATCATCCGGGTATTTAAAGTGCACGTTTTCTTTTTGGAATTTTCAGTGAACGCACTACTCGCACTATTTATACTACAGAACGTCACAGACTAGTGTGTAATCTTCTTAGTCGTCTTAGTAAAATAATAATTCATAATGTCATGCTTAAATGAATCCATGTTAAAGATCTGTTAAAGTTGGAGATACTTCCGACCATTTTTGACAGCCACAATTTTGGTACATCCCTAGTTTTGAATAAATGTTATTTAAATAAAATGTATATATAATATAATAATTTCTGGCAAATTAGTTTGATTTGTTTTTCTTGTTACAAGTACAATTGCAGTATTCTCAGTAACACATTTTACCATATTAAAACTAATCTGCAGAATCTAAACATTCAGAATCTTAAAATATGGAAAAAGATTCTGCAGGTTTTGCATTTAGATCAGTTTTCACAAAAATATCAACACAACCGTTTTCAACATTGATAATCATATTAGAATGATTTCTGAAGATCATGTGACACTGAAGACTGGAGTAATGATGCTGAAAATTCAGCTTTTTATGATGGGAATAAATTACATTTTAAAATAGAAAACAGTTTAAATTGTAATAACATTTCACAATATTAGTGTTTTCACTTTATTTTTGATCAAACAAATGCAGCCGTAGTCAACATAAGAGACTTACACATAAAAAAACTTACTGATCCCTTTTTTTTGAGCTAATTATGTGTTTCTTAACACTGCAGCAGCAGGAAGATGAAATCCTGTCCCTTGAAAACCCTCTTTCTGTCTGTGTCTAGCAGAGCTCAGGTGTGGTGGGTGGCGTATCGGGCCCAGGTGGGGCGGCGGCGCCCCCTGCAGCGGACCTGGAGAAGCGTAAACTCATTCAGCAGCAGCTGGTGCTGTTACTGCATGCTCATAAGTGCCATCGCAGAGAGCAGGCCAACGGAGAGGTCCGCCAGTGCAGCCTGCCCCACTGCAGAACCATGAAGAACGTCCTTAATCACATGACGCACTGTCAGGCCGGAAAATCCTGCCAGGGTGAGCGTTGCCTTGCCACCAGTTCATATTCTTTCAATCGTATTTTATTTTCCCACAAATAAACAATTCTTGTGTTCCTCTGCAGTGGCTCACTGCGCGTCCTCCAGGCAGATCATCTCTCACTGGAAGAACTGCACACGGCATGACTGTCCCGTCTGTCTGCCGCTTAAAAGTGCTGGAGACAAAAGAAACCAGCAGTGTGAGTTTTAATATGCACAAATGCTACTCATCCTGATGTCGTTCAAAATCTGTGTGACTTCCTTTCTTCTGTCCAACACAAAAGAAGATATTTAGAAGAATGTTTCATCTGTTTTCGCCCATAAAATAAAATTGGATTCCATTGACTTTCCTTAAAGGGATAGTTCACCCAAAAATGAAAATTCTGTCATTAATTACTCACCCTCATGTCGTTCCAAACATGCAAGACCTTCGTTCATCTTTGGAACACAAATTAAGATTTTTTTTGATGAAATCCGAGAGCTTTCTGACCCTCCCATAGACAGCAAGGGTCCTACCACGATCAAGGTCCAGAAACGTAGCAAGGACATAATCCATGTGACATCAGTGGTTCAACCGTAATTTTACAAAGCTACAAGAATTTTTGTGTGCAAAGAAAACAAAAATAACGGCTTTATTCAACAATTCGTCTCCTCCGTGTCACACTTTAGCGCCATTTTAGAGAGCATCACATACGTAAACAGCGTATGCTGTTCAGTGTCAGCAGTACCGAACGCAGATACGCTGTTTACGTTGTTCACGCTTTGATCTGAATGAAAACAACATATCCGCGTACATACGTTGCATATGTTGTTTATGGATGAACTACTGATGTCACATGGATTATTTTAAAGATGTCCTTGCTATGTTTCTGAGCCTTGATCGTTTAAGGATCCTTGCTGTCTATGGGAGGGTCAGAGAGCTCTTGGGATTCATCAAAAATATCTTAATTTGTGTTCTGAAGATGAACGAAGGTCTTACAGGTTTGGAACGACATGAGGGCGAGTAATGACAGAATTTTCATTTTTGGGTGAACTATCCCTTTAAGACATTATCATCTTTTATACTAAAATACTACTATATCAACATATTCTAGTATTTAAAGGGCTGTTCGATCTCTCATCCTTTCATCCATTCTTCTCTCTAGCTCTGCTGGGAGGTGCTGGGATGGGCATGGGTGGTCCGTTAGGTGGGTCATTACCCGGTGGTCAGCCTTCAGCCCCAAACTTAAACTCACCCAGTCAGATTGACCCAAGCTCCATTGAAAGGGCGTACGCCGCCCTTGGACTCACCTACCAGGGCAACCAGGCATCCAATCAGAATCAGCAGACCTCTGTACCCGCTCAACCCGGCATGAGGACGCTCAACAATATAGGTGAGAGTTTCCGTAAGTTGTAGCCTCTACATGTATGTCCGCTAATGTTATTTAAAGGGTTAGTTCACAGCATTTTTTTTGTCATTAATTACTCACCCTCATGTCGTTCCAAACCCATTCATTCATCTTCTAAACACAAATTAAGGTACTTTTGATTAAATCCGAGAACTCTCTGACCCTCCCATAGACAGCAATGGTACTACCATGTTCAAGACCCAGAAAGGCAGTAAGGACATCATTAAAATAGTCCATGTGACATCAGTGGTTCAACCTTAATTTTATGATTTTTTTTTGTTGTTATTCATACATGTAGTGTTTTTTCAGTTAGTGCAAAAACTAGTCAGCTAGTGTAAATCCTTAATATGTCTTGCCTACAATATCTTAAACTGTGTGCACCAGCAGGTGGGAATTCAATGGGAGTGAACGGTGGAGTTGGCACTCCGATGACGAACCAGCATCCAGGAATGCTGCCTGACGGCATGCTGCACAGGAACATGACACCTCAGAGGTACCAAACATCACTGCGGCTCAGTGCACCAGACCGGGTTTAAATGGATTGGTCAGTGAAAGCTTTATGTTGATGTTTGATGATTTGTCTCTCTCTTGCAGTCTGATGAATGATGGCTCTGGTGTTGGTAACATGGGTTCTGCAGCAACAGCCACACCTCCCTCTGCAGGAATGAGGAAGAACTGGCATGAAGACATCACGCAGGACCTCCGCAATCACCTCGTACACAAACTGTGAGTGATATGCTAACACACAGCCTGTCATTTTATACATCTATTATAAGAAATTGTAAAAACAATTTGAATTTTACATTTATGATAAATTAATAAAAATTAAGGTGGCTTCAACACTGAATAATTACTAGTCAGTAGCAGACGTTCCTGCATGATGGCTGAAATAGGTGGTGGATTACAGTATGCACTCTCATTGGCTGTCGGACGAATCACATCGCTGCTCATTCGTATAAAGACCGATAAAACTGTCACTGTTGCTCACGTCATCAGAAAGCACCAACTCTCATTGAAAATTAATAACTTTAGGTTGCTTCTCTGCTTCAAATCACTGTCTGCTGCATATTGACACATCACTTATACACATTACTATTCAGTGAATAGAAAGTCCAAAACACAGCATTTATTTGAAATAGATTTCTTCTGTAACATGATAAATGTCTTTACTGTTATATTTGATCAGTTTAATGCATCCTTGCTGAATAAAAATATTAATTTCTTAAACTATATTTTTGAATGATAGTGTACATTTTTACAAATGCATCTATACTTAAAGGGATAGTTCACCCAACAATGAACATTCTGTCGTTAATTACTCACCCTCATGTCATTCCAAACCTGTAAGACCTTTATTCATCTTCAGAACTCAAATTAAGATATTTTTGATGAAATCTGAGAGCTCTCTGATCCACCATAGACAGCAAGGCAATTGACACATTCAAGACCCAGAAAGGTAGTAAAGACATTGTTAAAATAGTCAATGTGATATCAGTGGTTCAACTGTAATTTTTTTTTGTTTTTTGTTTTTGCACAAAAAGTATTCTTGTAGCTTTCACAAAATTACTGTTGAGCCACTGATGTCACATGGACAATTTTAATGATGTCCTTACTACGTTTATGTGCCTTAAACATGTCAGTTACATTGCTGTCATGAATTATACATGAAATAAAAGAAACGTTAACTGAAATGAAGTATACAAAATGAAACATTTTATTTCAGCTAGCTTATCAAGGCCACATTTCTCAATTTCAAGTTGATGTACTAAAATAACTAAACTAAACTGAAATAAAAATTCAGAAAAACTGTATAGACAACAAAAACTAAAAAGCTCTACAAAATTACTGAAACTTTTAACGAAAATGCAAAATACAAAAATGAAAGTTAATTCAAAATGTTAATAAAATCTATAATAGGATCTCACCACCGTGTCTACACCAGACGCAACAGTTATCGAGACGTGCCGCAACAGCTAATGTCTGTCTACACTGGACGCGACAAAGCAACTTTTAGGAAAGTTTTTTTTTGTTAGGACGTCATAAATGGAACGAGGCATCAGTTTACTGTCTGGGATTTGTCGTGTTGCGCTGCACCACATCAAGTGTAGACGCATCACTGATTATAATGGGTTCTGTTGTATTTTGTCGTGCTGCTTGTGTCTGGTATAGACACGGTGTCAGTGATCCTGAAAAAGCACTGATTTATTTGAAATTGCTCCTTGTGAACTCGCTCTCCATAAAAGGATTTAAAATCCTTATCTAGTAATCACAAAAAACTGGATCACACATGGTACTGTCTAACTTCATGAATTCACTCTGTTACTTGGGTCTTTTTCTCTGTGTGTGTGTGTGTGTGTGTGTGTGTGTGTGAGAGTAGTGTACAAGCTATTTTCCCCACTCCAGACCCTGCAGCACTGAAGGATCGGCGGATGGAAAACCTTGTAGCTTATGCTCGCAAAGTGGAGGGCGACATGTACGAATCTGCCAACAGCAGGGTAAGAAAACGCTTGCACCGTTTCATGTCTGTGGATTATATTTGGTAAATATCTAAGTGAATCCACAGAATCACCTGACTCGTCACATTTTACCCATGATGCAGCTGTCAATGTCTAGCATTGGACAGAGCGCTGAAACTTCGTCCTAACCAGGCGTGATACGTCCATTAATTTTTCTGTCTCCACTAAAAGCTGCATGAAAAAAACTTTGAACCATGTTTAAAACTAATTGTAAGAATGATAGTCCTTGTGAATGTTTAACTTTTCCAGGCGGAGTATTACCACTTGTTGGCGGAGAAGATTTATAAGATTCAGAAAGAGCTGGAGGAGAAGAGGAGAACCAGACTGCAGAAGCAGGGTATGATCCCAGCTCAGCCTGGCATGCCCAACAGTGCTCTACCTCAAGCACCAGCTGGCATGAATCAGGCACAGCCGCCTAGTACGTACACATACACACCTGCATAAACTGGCCTTAAAGGAATTGTTCACCCAGAAACGAAAATTTACTGAAAATATACTGATCCATAGGCTAACCAAGCTGTAGATGAGTTTCTTCATTGGAACAGATTTGTTGAAATTTAGCATTTCATCACTTGCTCACCAATGGATCCTCTGTAGTGAATGGGTGCCGTCAAAATTAGAGTCCAAACAGCTGATAAAAACATCATAATAATTCACACGTAATCCACATGACTCCAGTCCATCAGTTAATGCCTTTAGAAGTGAAAAGCTGTGTGTTTGTAAGAACCAAATCCATCATTAATGCGTTTTAAATTTAAAATGTCCCTTCTAGCCAAAATTCAAGACCATAATAGCACTTCCTCCAGTGAAAGAGTCCATCCTCTGTTGTCCTTACCTTAAAATGCACTGACATGTCACCAGTATCAACTGTTTTGAACTGTTTTCACTTATTTAATATGCGCACATCTGCACATATTTTTCTCCTGATTCAGACAAGATTACTTTTTCACTGGAGTAAGCAATATTATGGATAGATGACTTGTATTTTAGCTGGAAGTAATGGTTTAAAGTTAGAAACATCTTGATCGATTTGTTTATCATAAACACACAGCTTTTCAGTCATGTGGGTTACTTGTGGATTATTGTGTTGCATTTATCAGCTGTTTGGACTCTCATTCTGACGGCACCTATTCACTGCTGAGGATCCATTGGTGGGCAAGTGATGTAATGATACATTTCTCCAAATCTGTTCACATTTTTGTCTACATCTTGAATGGCCTGAGGATTTGTACATTTTCAGCACATTTTCATTTTTGGGCGAACTATACCCGAAAATTTAAACCAAACGTCTTCAAGTACAAACACACACAGTTAAATCAAATTATGCTGTTTGTGATGGTTGTTCTGGTCTTTTCTAGATGGTCCCCATTCAGATCCGTCCCTAGTTCAAGCCACTGGACCCAATCAGATGGTCAACCGTATGCAGAATCCTGCTGGTATGGCACACTCACTAAATGGTCTGTAGTTTAAATTTTTTTTTAAATGTCTATTTTTTTGTCGTTTTCCTTTTCTGTAACATTTTTACAACTCTTGTGCAGGCATGAATCAGTTTGCCCAGGTGGGGATGCAACAGCCAATGGGACAAAGGGCAACGCCGCCCCTGCCAATGGGAGCAAACCTCAATCAGGTAACATCACTTGTGACCTGAAGAGGGACAACTAATTTAACTGATTTAAGTGTTTATTTAAGACTTTGTGTATTTTTAGATGGGTATGCAGGGGACACCTCGAATGACTCAACCCAACGTACCCCAGTTACAAAACCAGTACATGCAGAACCAGTTTCCAGGCACGGGTGCCGGCCTGAACCAACCTGCAGGGCAGGGAGCCATGTCACAGGTCAGCTATTAAACCACAGTCATACCATATTACGCAGCACAGCTTGTTGTCTCTAATGCATCTAATATGATTTGTCTTTTGGTGGCTAAAAGAGTGAAAGAGATTTTCTGTTGTGTTCTATTGTGGAAGACAATATGAATGACTAATGTGAATGAATGACTAATATGCACAATTTTAGGAAGAAGTACTGTTTAGAGAGATTTAAGCATAATTTAAATTTTCCTTATTAAAACCTATTTTGTTCATTGTTAGATATGTATCTTGGTCTGTTTGTGTATGTTTTATTAGCTGAGTGATTTGTTAGTGTCATTTGATTGTGCTCATAAACGTTAATAAAAATTTATGTTAAGTAATACTTGATGTAAATGAGAATGGGTGATTTAGCCGATCATTTATATTGGAAGAAATTTGTATACACTACCTTTCAAATGTTTGGGATGAGTGACAGTTTAAAAAAAACAAACATATTTATACTTTTATTTAACAAGAACGTGTTAAATTTACCACAAGTGACAGTAGACATTTATAGGGTTACAAAAGATTTCCGTTTAAAACATTGTTCTTTTGAACTTTCTTTTCATAAAAAAAAATCTTTAAAAAAATGTATCACGGTGTCCACAAAAATATTAATCAGCTATTAAAGTTAAAAACTTTAAAAAACTTTAACAAAAAATATAAACATTATATTAAAAGAAATATAAAAAAATTAGTAACTAGAGGTCTGCATTCCCACGGCTCTCCTGCGGGAACCACGGGACTTGACCAGATTTTTTGCGCCGCGGGATTAAATTCCTGAATAAAACACGGTAGCGGTCGGTAACTCTAGTGTAATTTGACCGGGAGTGGGCGGTCTAACAATATCCCGTTCCCGACGTCCATTCAGAACAGGTACAGCCTGCACTCGGACTGTTACACACACACGCATGCTTTCTGCGTCACGCGTTTTATTTGCGGGGTCTGTGCACAGCATGTGCATAACGATGCTCAGAGCAGGCTGTACCTCTGGTAAATATACGGCCCTCAGACAGAACAGGCAGGTTGTCGATGTGACAGAGCAGAATAAGGATGGAGCAAACCCCCCCTTTCTGAAACGCGTCGATTTTTACAAAGCTCATCGGTCTGAAAAGCGAGGCGTGCTCTGATTGGCCAGCTATCCAGTGCGTTGTGATAGTGAGTCAGAACTGCTGGCATTGTAGTCTACACTACCAGGATCAGGAAACAGTCCTCCATAAAATGTGCTGCACACATCTGAATATTTGGGTTAAACCGTTCTGGAACAGTGTTGTAAATACAACTTAACCACTGAGTTCTAGTCGTGTCCTCTTTTGGAAGGCCAAACAAAATAGTTCTGCTTTCGCAATGAAACACACAGTGTCTTCACAATATGGCGGCGGTGGCAGCAACAATAAAGTTATGTCTTCTTTCTTTGCGTGAACATTTGGGCGGCGTTATGCAAATCTTCCCACACAGTGACGTAGACATGTGGGGGCGTGTTAGAACGAGGCGTTTTAGGGGGGCGTGGACGAGTCTTAACTTTTATAAAGAATATCTCTTTGGGTTTGAGACTTTAGTCTTTGCAACTTTAGGGATCTTATCTATTCACGAACAGCTTGTAATACGCCAAAGAGAAAGGAAAACTTGAAATCGCATCATATGACCCCTTTAAACAAATTGTATCCTGACAAGACGAAATAAAATTTTTGTACAATTTTTATTTTCTCTGACACTTTTTTTTTTTTCCTACTGTTGCATAAATTAAACAAATTTTGTGTCTTAAGATAATTCATATAAATTCAAGTCAAAGTGAATAAATTCAAGACTCTTGACAAGACGAATAAAGTAACATGTTGTGCAGACTACACTTCTATTTGTTAGCCTATCTTTCTTTCAGTAGCGGAAATTTAAATGTGAGATTCTGGAAACAAGATCAAAATTTAGCGGGGACGGTCGGGTTGGTAAGAAAATTATTCTAAGCGTACAGCGGGTGAACAGAGTGAATATATAGCGGGAGCGGGTGGGTGCGGAATATATAAAAAAAATAGTCCCGCGCAGACCTCTATTAGTAACTTCAAACTATCTATGTAATATATTCAACAAAAACATTTGGACCAAATAACAGTACAATAAAAAGAAATCTAGTAATAAATAATGGCACATTTTTTTCACTGATGGTTCTTCACTGAAGAAATGCATAGAAATATAGAAATACATAGACATTTTTTAAATATTTTTCTAAAACATTTTAAAATTGTAAAACCAAAAAACATTCTAAAACATAAGCCACATTAATTGCTGAATCAGTTGAACAGATTCTTTGAAATGGACAGAAATTATTAGTGAAACAAGAAGCAGCCATGAAAGAGTCTTCAGGAAACGGAGCAAACTTAAGATCACTGCAGTATTCACAATACGTAGTGTTATATCACCAATAAAACTATCAGGAATATGTTGTAAATATTTAATACAATGCCCAGCCCTCGATGTAAAGTAATATCACCCAGTCTAATTTTTGTTTATTTTTTTATCTCTTCTTCTCTCTCAGAATCAGATCCGCACTCCACCATCGCTGGCAGTCCGAAGTCCAGTAGCTCAAACCCAGGCAGCAGTCTCAGGCTCTACAGCCGCTGCTGGCCCTCAGGGGCCTCCGTCCAACCACCCCCCCCCCGCCACACAGCCCGGACTGCACGCGCCCTGTCCTCCTTTACGCCAAAACTCCCCTTCTCCTGCACGCAGCCTCACCCCTACCCCCGCCCCGCACCAAACGCCCCCGCAGTTTCCGGGTAACCAGACCCCCCAGCCCCACACACCCACTTCTTCAACCACTATGGCCCCACCTTCAACGCAGATGCCCCTGATGGCACAGGGGGTGGGCTCAGACAAAGCCAGTCAGCTCCAGCAGCCATCGCATGGGGGCGGAGCCGCTGGAGGCCCCCAAACAGGGCTAGCGTCATCTGTGCCTTCCCAGAATGCACACGGACTTTGTGCACACCCACACACTCCTGTGAGTATCACAATCGAGAATGTGTTTGTTTGGGGTGTTTTTGCTTATACCTTCACATCGACACTGAAGAGCCTCCCATTTATCGTTTTTGTTTGGGTCTTCTGTGAATATGGGGCCCTATTAGGGGGTGGGACAATAAATCGATGTGCCGATTTATCGCAATATTTCCGGCCACGAGACGTTATCGATACTCTGGCAAGTATTGATATTTTTTTAAACATACATAGATCTAAACTCATACCTACACTGTGGCTGTTTACCACTTTGGCTTACCGGAGTGGCAGTACCTCCAGACTTCTTGTGGTGGCGCTTCCCAGATTGTGGATTGCTCAGATGAATGGAAATTATAATTCACAGCGAAGAAGAAATACAAGCGTAATGATAGACCAACAACAAATCAGAGATGCACCGGCGTCTTATGTTTATGGAGATGAGAACTAAACTGCCCCGGAACAGCTATCAGCGTGGACTGTAGGCATCGATCATGTCATATATATTGAGCATATTGAGTCCGTGAGTAGCCTAACCTCTCCGCTCGGATCGCAGGTTGATTCCCCTCACTGTATGAGTGAGAGAGAGCGGCGCCGGCGCGTCCAGTTTTATGTCAATAAAACTGGATGCTCTCTCTCTCTCTTTAGATATTACAAGTGCGCGTTATTCAGTGTGGGCTGTGGGCACCGACCAGCAGAAACATTAATCTGCACCTATGGCATGGACGACGAAACAAAACCTTGTCAGAGCCTATATATATAGCCTATATAAAGTTGATAAGCAGTTAAATGTGTTGGTTTACACACAAATAAATATGTAAGCTTTTAATAAGTCCAAGAATAAAATTATTAATTTACTTGTTAAATTTGATTTACAGACCTTTTTGTGCTGTTTTCTATCAGTTTGGACTTGAATAAAGAGAGAAAACATGCACTTAACCTTTTCACAGGCATTTTGTTTTCATAGTTAGACAGATATCGTGATGTATCGTTACCGGATTGTCTAGCAATATATTGATTATCACAGAATCGCTGTATTCGTGATATTATCGTATCGTGATTCGTATCGTATCGTGAGGTACCCTGAGATTCCCACCCCAAGGCCCTATGAAGAACCGTGTACGGAATCATAAAAATGGAGTTTACAGTATAATGCGAAATGTCATGAAATTTGGCAAAATTTAGATGAATAAATGAAAAGCATGGCTGTACATTTAATCAAATCGGTAAAAAAAAAAGAATGTCTTTTGAATATTAAAGCACAAAAAGACTGCCATTTAAATGTGTAGTCTATATGTTCTGCATGTCTGTGTGAATGAAAATATATTTCTCAAAGTAATAACTGTAATAATAAATTTAGAGTATTTGTCTGTTTTAATTTAAACTGTGACTTCATTTAAATTTAACTTACTAAACTTAATTTACATTTAATTTAAATTTAAACCTTTGTTGTGCAGGACTGTGTTTTTATAACCGTTTTTGACAATGGTTCCAAAAAATAACTTATTAAAGATTTTCTGAAAGAATAAAACTATTTTAAAATGCACTATTTATAAAATTAAAGTAAAAATTAAATTAAGTTTTTATGAATTCAAATGATTAGTCATTGCTTTTGATTTATTACAAAATATATTTAATTAAACCATTAAACTGAATCCAGAAAAATGAAGTGGAAAAGACAGAATTAGGGGGAAAAAAATTCAGAATTTGGGAAAAGATAAAACTAATTTCATAGGGTCTGATGAATTTCTCTGTTTTGTTTGTCTGCTATGGAACTCTCACAATTCGCTTGTTTGTGCTGAAGCAAAATAAACAAAAATGCACAGGGTTGGTAGAACAAACATGCCCAGCATGAAAGCTTTCTTAATCTGCTGTTTGTTTTAGTATTTCCTTCATATTCTTTATTTGTATTGCTGGGTTTTTTTTTCTTTTCTTTTTTTTTTGTTGGCTGTTCTCGTACTGTACTCTTTCGCATTGGCTATTCCTTCTGACATTTGTTTTTTGGCTTTTCGTACACTGCTGTTTTGTATTAGGCATTTCCTGCTGACTGTTATTTCTCATTGGTTGCTCTCTCATTCAGACACTCGTTTCTCCAGTTTCTGTTACATTTTTTTATTTGCTGTTCCTTTTGTTTGCCATTGGCTGCTCTTTTTTATAAGACTGTTCCTTCAGATTTTTGGTTTCCATTGGCTGTTTTGTCTTATTTTATCTCTATTTGATCCTAAGCTATTGTTTTTTTTATTTGTTTTTTAATTATTTATTTTTGTAGCTGTTCCTACTGGTTTTTGTTTGCCATTGGCCTTCCTCCTGACTTGTTTCTTATTTAGCCATTTGCTCTGTTTTGTTTTTAATTTCTCATTGGCTGTTCTCTCTATCTGCTGTGCCTTGTTGGCTGTTCCTCCCTCATTTTGTTTGTTGTTTACTCTTCTCTCTCTTAATCAGCTGTTTCTTTTGGCTGTTCCTTGTTTTTGTTCGCCATTGGTCGTTCTCCTAATCTGCTCTTCTGTCCCAACCCTCAGCTATCCCAGAAGTCATCTCTTACAGCGGACGGTCAGGCCTCAACTCCTGCCTCGGACAGCAGTGCTGACCCAAGCTCGCAGCTGACATCATCCGAGCCCAATGCCCCACTCGACCCCAAAACAGAGGTTGAACAGCAGGAAGAAGAGGATGAGTTGGAGGATAAGGCCTCAGGGAAACTGGCTGCCATGCAGACTGAGATTAAGACTGAAGATAAACCAGAGGTGAGTCGGGAAACTTTACATCTGTTAAATCTGAAATTGATCCTTTCTTTTCAGTCTGTATTTCAATTCCGTCTCTAACCTTATTTTGATTGGTCGGCCACATAAAGGAGGAGGAGCCTGCAGGCGATGAATGTAAGACCGAGCCAATGGAAACATCAACTGGGTCGACAGCTGAGGACAAGAAGCCGGAGGTCAAAACCGAACCCAAAGAGGAAGAGGCTGCGGGAACGAACAGTTCTCCCGCAAACACACAAAGCAAGAAGAAAGGTAAAACAAACTAACGCACACATTCATAGACATTTTACATGAAAAATGTTTGGTGAATATTTTGTCCTTTATGGTGGTGTTGTTTTTTTTCAATGTAAACATACCCTTTTCTATGAAGATATAATGTGCTGGGGGAAAAAAACAAACATTGGTATACCATCCCAGAGAAGTTAAACCTGAAGCGTTTTGTTTTACAGGTGCATCTCAATAAATTAGAATGTCGTGGAAAAGTTCATTTATTTCAGTAATTCAACTCAAATTGTGAAACTTGTGTATTAAATAAATTCAATGCACACAAACTGAAGTAGTTTAAGTCTTTGGTTCTTTTAATTGTGATGATTTTGGCTCACATTTAACAAAAACCCACCAATTCACTATCTCAACAAATTAGAATATGGTGACTTGCTAATCAACTCACTTCCTGAGCCTTCAAAATGGTCTCTCAGTTTGGTTCACTAGGCTACACAATCATGGGGAAGACTGCTGATCTGACAGTTGTCCAGACCGTTTTATTGATTGTCATGCTTCATGGGATTGTAGTTCTAAGTACACAGTTTTGTCTGATTTTCAAATAATCAAAATGTGTAATGTGATCAATTTGATAGATTTAACTCTGGCTTATAACTGTTAAAGATGTTTTTTCAGCAAAAAAATAAATACATTTTCTGATTGTGTTTGGCACAGAAATCATGCGTGATGTTGCTAATGCCAGAGATTACAGACTTAGGCTTTAAATTAGTTTTATTTATGCTTTGTATTTAAACTGAGGATTGTAGTTTTAAGATTATATCAAATTGGGCTATGAATCAAGAACATTTTAGTTAATGATAAAGCAGTTATTTGGTGAAAATGAACTGGCACTTTTAACTAGATTATTTTGAATGTTCAGTTGGCATTAAGTCTTAAATGTTGCTGGTTGTTTGGCATCAACAAAATGAAATGGCTCTGAAAGATCTCACAGTCTGCGCTGGCATTATTTTCTGAATTAAGTATTGTTTTTGCTCTCATCTGCTTAGACTTTGTGTACTTCGTTTTCTTAACCTTAGCTTCAAACCATTGCACTTGTTTTATTTTATATCCACATAATATCCTCATTCTGAGTTTACCATTATTCCCCAGAGTTATGGCCAAGTATTTTAGCAATAACCAGCATAGCAGATTCAATTTTACTGATTGTGTAATTGGTATAATTTTACTGACAAGTACAACTGGCTTTCATTTACGTTAAGGAGCCACATTTCTTCCACTGATCACTGTGTTGCATGATGGGATCAGTTGATTCTGTTTCTTAGAAAGTGGCGAAAATTAAAATGAATTTCCTGCTTTTCTGGTTATTTTGCTGCTTTATCAGTGGTTTGTTTGAATGAGGCACTGGCCCTATTTAAGGTGTGACAAGCAAACATTACAAACAAGTAGAGTCCAACTTGAACAAAATATGTATAAAACCTAATGGACAACTCAAAAAGCCATAATTAATTGGTCAAACGGTAAACCCTGAAAATGAAATAACTCTGGGTTTGTTCACTCTCTTCACTGGTCTAAGATTAGTGTTTGTTTGAGACACCTCAGTTTGTCCTGGCATTGTGTCGTCCTCATCGTATCTGCTTAAAGAACGCATATGGTTGTGTAAAGAGTTGAGGGAACCATTATTGCAATCGCTGTACATATTCATATTTTAATGTATGGTTCTGGAGACCTATCAGATGCCAGGAACCCTGCAGAGTCTCAAGATATAAAATCTTTTGATGCAACCCCAAACCTTAAAGAAACTGCACTATTTTTGAAAATAGGCTAATTTTCCTACTTCCCTAGAGTTAAACAGTTGAGTTTTACCGTTTTCTAATCCATTTAGCTGTTCTCCGGGTCTGGCGGTAGCACTTTTAGCATAGATCATTGAATCTGATTAGACCGTTAGCATCTCGCTCAAAAATGACCAAAGAGTTTCTATATTTTTCCTATTTAAAACTTGACTCTTCTGTAGTTCTGTTAACCGGAATGAGAGTATAGTTTCTAGCCGTATCGGCCTAGAAAATCGCAACTTTTCATTTTCCGTTGGTCTTAGTACACGATGTAACTACAGAAGGGTCAAGTTGTAAATAGGAAAAATATTGAAACTCTTTGTTCATTTTTGAGCGAGATGCTAACGGTCTAATCAGATTCAATGATCTATGCTAAGCTAAGCTAAAAGTGCTACCGCCAGACCCGGAGATCGGCTGAATGGATTCGAAAACAGTAAAACTCAACTGTTTAACTCTAGGGAAGTTGGAAAATGAGCCTATTTTCAAAAATAGTGGAGTGTTCCTTTAATCTAAATTTCCCTAAATACAAAAGTTTTGATAAAGAATCACAAGTCAATTCCAAATAATTTGACACTGTCACACACAACCTGAATACAGCGGGGTTGACAGCTGAAGGATTGTATTTCTCCTGTGTCTTTGATTTGTGCTGCTAGACTGTAAAGAAGCGAGTCCAGCTGTGCTTTGTGGTGTAAACGCTCATACTTGTGCTGCTGTAATTTAATATCACCCAGCTTGTACTCACCTCAGCTTACTGTATCCTAACGCTAACCCTGCCAACATCACCCTATGAAACCTCAGTTTATTTTGATTTTTTGGCAAAATGGATTCATTCTTCCACATGTGATATTATTTCACCAAGCCTGGATTTAAAATTAGTAAATGTTTTCTTAAAGTGCCCCTATTATGCCTTTTCGAATATTACCTTTCATGCAGTGTGGCATGTAGCTGTATGTGAACATAAACTATCTGCAAAGTTGTGAAACCGACAGTGCACGATAAATAAAGTTATTGTCTATCAAAAAAAAAAGTCGTCTCGCAATCGCCTAAACGAATCTTCAGGAATTCGAATCTTATTCTGTTACAACTCTACCTCTCGAAGTAACACATTTACATAAGGTTTGCCACGTTTTACGTCGCCAACTTGCCCGCCCACAAACACAGTAAAATTTTCCGTGTGGTTAACATCATGTCGAGAAGACGCTGTATCCTACGCTGTGAGAGTAAATTTGTTTTATCACATCTTATAATTACCACAAACTTAACACTTGACGCTTAACACTGAGAAAAGTCCTGCTCCAGTCGTGTTTGCAAATCAGTCTCTTGTCGATCAGCCAGTTCAACCATTTCTTCATCAGACTCCGGCTCGAATTGGTAAGGTACAATCGATACCATCTTTTCTATGCATTGACAAGTCTCCAGGGCTATCATTCCGTCATGGCAATGGGCGTTTCGTTTCCGACACGCGCTGTACGCGGTAGACCAATCAAGAGCCAAGCTCTCTACGGCTCTGGACCAATCACGAATGACTGCGCCATCTGACCAATCACAGCAGTGAGGGCTCAC